TTGCAAGTCGAATATAGGGCCAGTGTTGTTTCTAATGATAAGCATAGCCTCCACCAAGTGTCGACAAATAACCTTTAACGTGGTATTCTGCTTGGAATTTTTGTATTTATTCACACAAAAGTAAACGTTTTCAAAAGAATGTTATGTTTATTAATAGTTGTCTGCATTAAAAACAATAATACAAAACAACGCAAAAAGTTGATATACGACGAAGCGAGAGCTGCAATCGTATTCCACAACACCCATTGAATTAAATTAAATTGTACAGCTTTACAACTACATTTTCTGTTGGACATTTTACCAATTATTTATTTGCTATACCGGACGCTTAAAAATGGTTGTTCCATATTTTAGCAGATCACTGTATATGTAAATAGTATATTGGGCACATTGTCACATAGAGTTCGAAATATCAGAAAAAAACTAAAGTACAAAAATATTTCTCTTAGACCCCATCAATTCAATGTAATGGAGCAATGTTCTCCCCAGCTATATTTTCCTCAGTTTGAGAAAACCAAATAATTTTAGCCCAGGAAGCTATGACATCATTCTACTCTTTGCTAAACTAGGGTGTGTAAGTACTTTGCACTTTTAAAGGGTAACTTCCTATTCTAAAGGAAAAAAAAACACCCACGGATAACTGTTATGGTTTTACAGTTAAACGTTTTTTAAGTAGAATTTAATGGTTGGTTTCAGTATTTATCTTAAACTAATAGTATAAACAGAAAATTTGTTTTTTATATGGTACAGCCTGTACATTTTTAAAGCGTTGAATAGAACTGAAAATTACAATTCCAAAAACATAGCACACTTCTAAAAGTTTGCCTACTTTGAACAAGCATGCTTTGCAAATGCACATTGGGTAGTGAATTTGGCTCATATAGCTACTGGATATATAAGGGCACTTATTAATGCCGGTAATACAGAAAACTTTAATTTAATTACCAGCTGCAGAACGTATTATTAAGAAAATGTGACAAGACCTGGATGTAACGTTTGACTCAAAACTCTCCTTCAGAAATCACTGTGGAGGCGTACTCAAAATGGAATTCATAGTAAGAAAAACTGTTATATTATAGTTATGTGGGCTCGAAACTAGAGTAGGTTGCGGCAACCAATATTTGGCAGGTACATCAATCAAATTGAAAACGTACAGAGAAAGTTTTTGAAATTTCTTCACTTTTCTACCGGTATAGCGGACTGCCACAGAGTGATTTATTACTAATGTTTAAGGTTCCCTCCCTGTTGAATAGTAGGAGGTACCTTTCATTTCAGTTTTTATATAAACTTTGCAATTCATTAGTCGCTTGCCCTGAGTTGCTGAGCCAGCTGAACTTTCATGCTCCTTTAAGAAATGTAAGGACATCACCTGTATTTCACCTAGTAACTCCAAGAAAGAATTCTGTGATCAAAGGTCTTCTCTATCAGCTGATGAAATTATTGAATTACTTCTATATAGATATTGGCAATTTTGTCTTAGTCGGTCACAGTTTACCACACTAATCAAACATAAATTTGAAATACTATAATGGATTGTATGTTCACTATTACATTGGTGGAGTGAATATAGTTGAATACTTATTATAGTTATAGTTTATAGATCTTAAGATGAAATTGTCTTCTAAATGGATGTTAATGTATTCTACAATAAAAATTATTATTATTATTATTTTTATTATTCTAACTAAAAAATATTTCGTTTAACATGGCCATGCAGGAGATTTAAAATCTTGTTTCTAACCAATGACCTTGCGACATTCAACAACCAACATGGCCACTAACAGATAGTCGCTGTTTAGAAAGAAAATGGAGCGAAGCTGGAGACTGAAACCTAGAAGCAAGCACGGAAAATCATTCCCTCCTCTACGAAAACATCCAGTATATTATTTAACAGCTACATGATTTATCTATTAAGAAAGTGGGAAACTGAAATTTGAAAATTATGAAAAATGGGAAACAATTGTTTTATACGAGCCGCGGAGAATGCAGTTGGAATAAGCAATTTCTACCACGGAAAATATCCAGAATGACGACAAACTTCTAATAATATCGGAAATTCGGATGATTGCAGTGATCAGTTTCAAAAGAAAAGGTTAAAACAGTATACATGAGGATACATAGGGAATTAAAAGGAATATTTGTTTTAGGAGAAGTTTAAAATATCCTATGACGAAAATTACAGACACTGACAGGCAACGACTAAGTTAGACACAAATACAAACCATACAAGACGGGAAAAGTGCGCTTAGACTTTCAACCATGTGTAGATTTTTGCCAAATATTGGAGCAACTGAAAATTACCAGTTCCGATTTTATGATTATCTGCCATGTTTGTAACTTATGGCAAACACTCCAATGAACTTATGCACAATGTTGATAATGTTGAGCGGATGGCGGAACTTTGGTTCACCAACAATAACCTTAAACTAAATACAGATAAGACACAACGTCTTGTTAATTTAATGGAGGGCAAGAATGTAAGGCTCTTGGGAGTAACGCTGGACGATAGTTTAAATTGAGCCCATCATATCAACACCTTGTATAAAAAAGGTGTCTCTAATATTTGTATAATCCGTAAACTGAAAGGACTGGTTACTGTGGGCACATTGCGGGTTACCTGTTTTTCTTTTTCATTCTCATCTAACTTACGGTATAGTTCTCTGGGTTAATTTTGCCACTAGGCATTTAAACTCCAAAAGAAAGTTGTTCGTTTGATTGTCGGTGTAAGTTATCTGGAGCACTGTCAAGCAATTTTTAAGAAGTTGGAAATTATGCCACTTCCTTGTCTGTATATTTAGTATCAATTATTAAAAATACACAAAAACATAGACAGCTTCAGTCAGAACTCCTCGTACCATGACCATTTAATTAGAAATAACAAGCTAATTCGTTCTTCAAGATTCAAATATACCATAAGTGAAAAAAAAAAACACTAAACTTAAACTTGTACAATAAACTACCAGCTAATGTGAAAGTTCTAAGTAATAGAAAATAAAAAAAAAAAATCTTAATCTTTCTAAAAAGGCAGAGCTTTTACTCGGTCGGGGAATACGTGGGTACTCGCGCTGTGATTGAAGTCAAAGAAGCGTCTGTGAACGGCGTGACTATATAATGACTTTCTATAATTTTGTTGATGTTCCTTCCTTTTATTTATTTTTATAAATGTCTTGTCCTTTGTTATATTCACTGTCCTGTATATATGTATTATACACTGTTTTATATAATTTATACACTCTTTATATAATTTATTCATTGTCTTGTTTTTTATATACATATTTTTCTACATATTGTATTTATGACTTGCCATAATTGTAACAACAAAACGTGGTCCATAAATTCTATTCTATTCTATGATGGCCTCCATAAACAGATAGAAACCCTGCCTGTTGATCTGGCGAAATTGGCCATTGGCCGGCGAAGTCACCGGACTTAACGCCCATGGATTTTTACCTTTGGGAAACACTGAAGGGTCTTATTTTTAAATTGCCCATACATTGTAGACGCGAATAAGGAATCGAAGTTATAAGAGGATTGACATCTCTCTCCCTACATTTTGAATACATCCTGTAGCATAAGCTGTGGTAATGGCGTAATATTTCGTTATATTATGTTAGTTAACTTTGTCCTAAATGCATGGTTTTATTTGTTGAAATTATATAAATTCTATAAATACCTTTAATTGTAAATATTAGTTTTATTTTAATTAATACTTTACCCACCAGACATTTTTATTTTTTCTATTATATTTCAGAAATGCTTTTAAAGAAACAAAGTATTCCACAGCAAAAAGTTGCAGCGATTTTTTAAACATGCACATTTTGGAAAAACACCCCATTTTTTATGAAAATTAAGCATCAGACACCGGCATCATTTGTTATCTATCTTCATTAGAAAGGGAACTTTCTCGTCTCAGTTTGGCCCACCCTGTACATTTAACCAATATTTTAAAATTTTTGTCACAAATAAATTAATAGGTGAAGAATAGCAAAATAATGAATTTATTTTTTATTTATATATAATACACTCAGATGATAAAATCAAATTAACAGTTTTCAAGATTACATAGAAAGATTTTATTTATATAATTATATTTATATATTTTATTTATGCAGTAACGATAATTATATAGTAGATTATTATTTATTTATAAACCCAAAGCAGATAAAAAAAAACTTGCTTTGCCTAAAATATGTGGCCACTTGCTCTGTAAATACTTTCTTTCACGGTAACCGATAAATTCAAGAAAAATACAAAATTAATTCTCAACAAACCACATCAGCAACAGGTTTAATAATTTACATTTACTGGCACCACTTGTGTCCTGGCGATATAGTTCTTTAAAATAGCCGACATTTTTGAGCAATCTGGCAAAGCAGCGGTTATGGTTGGGCCTCTCTACCCTGGCCGATTAGGGAACCCCGAGATCCAGAGCCGCACTCTGCGGTTTAAACGAATCGTATGCTGCAAATCGATATCAGGTGTTAAGATAATTTCATACAATAGAAAGAAAAAAAATATCCGTGTTTGGAAGATTTGTGATTTATAGTCGAGTATAAAATGAGACCGCAGTATACACAGCTATTAAATCTGCGGTTACTTAATCCTGATTTAAAATGTATCAGTTTCACAAAGCACTGACCTTGTGCTTTACTTTAAGCGTTTCAAGTTTCACAAAATTCTTTTCTCTTTTCTATTTTAGCGGTTTCAATTGGCAACCCTATTGTGCACACTGAAATTGAGATGAAGAAACCCTTGCATTTTAGAAAAAACACTAGAAGATAAAATAACGTCAAATACAGAACAAATGTGTGTATAGGTTTCTACATATATTAGATCAACAAAATTTCCAGTCTTAAGTCTTTCTATTTGAAATTTAACACAAGAAAAGTCAATGCACTAAAAATTTAGTTAGTCCAAACTATAGCAACATTTAGTCTATGGTCACTGTCGTTGCATCGCTTAGTCCGACTCTGTCGCAAGCCATTCAACATGGAGGAGCCTTGCGTTCGGTCTTATTCACGGACTGACGGCTGTTTGCTGTAGTGTACGCTATAACGTGTCGTTTAACGAGTTGGTGCCGGAAAAGTGCAGTGTTTTTATGCGATTTACGTTTCAAAAATAGTAAAAAATGTTTACCGCAGACAGTAAAGCACCCCTCAGGAATGTTAAAAGGGTTCAATTTGGAATTTTGAGCCCCGATGAAATCGTAAGTTGAAAAACAATAATTTGCTTTGGAGAATTATTCCGTTGTGTGGAAATCGCACGGCCTACAGGCCAGGTTGCCATATCTCGTACTAATTCGTTAATAAGTTTGCCGGAGTGCGTGTAAGTTTATAAATAAAATAAAAATGTATAAGAAATCAAAAGTCCAGAAGTTTAATTATTTAAGTTTAGTTAATATGTAGCCATCTGGCGTCGGAAAAACAATCTTTGACAGATAACTTTTAGGTTAGGTACATACCTACCGCGACGATCCACAGTTACCAAAATATGGAGTAGGTTTCTTGATACTACTTAAAAAAGTGCAAAAGCGAACAATAATATTTAAATTTCATTTAATTAATAAGCCAACAGAAAAATTCTATATCTTTCTTATACTTGTCATTTCCCTATACCTAATTGTTGGTCACTAATGCCCTTTCTAGTAATTCTTATTTTGTAACACAACGATACATATTTAAATACATTTAAAGATAAACTAATAACATGACATTGTTTACGAATTTACGAATGTGAATAGACAGTTTTTTAGTGAACTAGGATGGTCGGGTAGTTTCTCAAAATGTTAATATTATTGAAGGTCTTCCAATTTCAACTTTTTGAACAGTGTTTGGATATGTGAGTTATGAGTCACTATTATTTATCGATTAAATAGGTACATAACCACTAGCGCAATTTTTGCTAATTTCGCAATTTACTTTGCTGCAATTAACAGTAAAAAATCTAGAAAATATTTTCTTTTGTTATAAAGAAAATGGTACGTGGCTTCTAATAATTTTAGACTGATGTATACCGCATACGTTTAAGACGTATATTTTTTATAGTACATATATTATATTTTATGTTATTTATATTCCATCGTTGGCGATTTTTTTTCGATTTTAACGACTAGTAAACTGTAAATAAATTATTTAATTAAAGTAATTAAATTCGTAACCGTTAAAATTCAAAAATACAAATTTTATCTGCTATGTTTGCTCATAGCTGGTGTGAAAAGGAAATACGCCAATTTTTGAGCTACTGGAATATTATTGTTCAGAAAGAAAAAAAAAAGTTTGGGTTTTAATAAAAAATCACAGTGTCGCTAATAATTTTTTGCAACAATCGCTTTTAAAAAAGTTCCTATATTCATGAAGTTCGATTATAAGAGAAAAATCGTTAAAATTATCCAATAAGGTCAAAATTTACTTGTCAAATTTACAACTTTAATTAATTGCAGAGACGTATGTCAGTCACGGAAGGCGGTATCCGCTATCCAGAGACCATGGAAGCGGGCCGCCCCAAATTGGGGGGTCTGATGGACCCTCGGCAAGGGGTCGTCGATCGGCAGTCAAGATGTCAAACTTGCGCCGGTAACATGACAGATTGTCCAGGACATTTCGGCCACATAGAACTAGCGAAACCAGTATTCCACATAGGTTACATTACAAAAACTATCAAGATTTTGCGATGTGTGTGCTTTTACTGCAGCAAATTGCTGGTCAATCCGGTAAGTTTTACAAAATTCGGGCAACATTTAGGACTCGGCTGAGCTAATAAAGGAAATAAAACAGAATTGTTGTTTTTTGATATTCCTGGTGATAATCTTGTAGGTATGGGCTCTTACTATACCTAATTATATGGAATTCCTCCGCCCTCTCCGAGGGGTAAATCACGCGTTAACTTTGGTATTCTATTTCTGTGAAATTTGTGTAATCCTTGTTATATGTGAAAATTTTCTGGATTGAGCACTTTCCTTTATATAATTAAAATAAAATAATTTAATTAAAAAAAATGTTTGAATTAAATAATAAACAATTTAATCTAAAAATATTCCAACATAAATAATTAACTATTTTTACGATATTTGTAGATTGGGTCTAAGGTGTGGCGTATAAATATTATAAAATTAAACGAACTATATTGGTGATGTTTCGTTTGGATTTTTTTTTGACTAACGTTTTCGATAAACAATTATTTGTTTGTTGGATTCATGGCATTTTTATAGTTATAAGAAATAGGGCATAAGAGAAAGTCATAATAAATGTTTTCTTTTTTTTTATTTGATTTTAATTGAAAAAAATATATATTAATATTTTTAAAAAATGGTTTTAAATGCATTTTTTATATATAATTTTCACTAAATTTTGTTTTAAATATGACGGAAACTCAAAAATTTTCCACATAACACACAAAATTATTTGTCAAAATCTGGAAAATTATTTAGAAATCTGTGAAATCTTTATTGAATCCGGTGAAATCTGTGAAATCTGGTGTACCAATTTTGGATCGTGATTTGTCCCTCGGCCCTGTTATAATAAATATTATGGTTGAGCCATTAAGAAGACGAAAAACGCCTTTTTATGACCCGACAAAATGTAGTTTAAATATGAAAAAAACGGGAAATGTTAATGGTGATTGGCTGGCTCCAATCTTCCGACCATATATTTGTCGTAAAACTTACAGACTTCGCGTTTCTTTTGTTGGTGTTCCGGTCTGTTTCTGTATAATTGACAAACTGCATATGTGTGATGGAAACTAGAAATGATAAAATTTTGGTTACGCCTAGTCTATCCTAGGCCAAACTATTAGAAGGAAAGGATGTACTAATCAAAGTCAACTAAATCTGTCATAGTATTTCATTTTCGTGTAAGATAAACCCTGTTTGCTTAGGAAAAACTACTTTTTGTCATTTTTGGTTAGAATTTGCTCCTTTCCTCGTTTCTTATAAACTGATTTGGCCTTAGGATAAACTAGTTTAACCTGAAATCGGGTTTGGTCAGTCAGCCGAGGATACTGCTTAACCTATATTTTGTCAAAGGAAAAGGCGACTTCAAATTACCTCCATGTTTCGTGTATCAGTCCTAGCAGGTAATAATATTCGATGCATTTGGTATGGTATGCATGGTATTTTTTCAATCAATATTTAAAAGATAAAAAGGTACGGGAGAGCTATAAAAAACCAATATTGAACTTTATATAGTCTAGCTAGTCAATTATTGAAACGTTTGATAATAATTGGTTATGTTTCATTTGTCCATTACACTAAAAAAAAAATTTTTTTTTGTAAACAATACCGTCGGATGTTTAGACGCAAATTTGGCTAAACTGAACGTGAAAAATTATAGTGCAATCTTCCTTAACTTTTGCGCTCTAATAAATGTTCTGCTTGTCTTCAGCCACTTCATGTATACTTATAAGAAATTTGGCACACATGTGGCATTGAACTAGAGAAAGGCAATATCATTGTTTTACTAGATTTGGTTCAAAATCCATGTAAATGTGCCCTTTACAGTTAACTACTAGTTACTAGTTTGCAGTTCGAATTGATATTAGCTTCGGTTTCAGGATTATTTCCCTTCGAGTGGAGTGCGGAACACCTGAAATGCTGCCCTAATAAATGAATCGTTAACGTAGGACGATGAAAATTATGTTAATATAATGTTTATGTTCATAGCGTCAAACCGCGATGCTTCGTGTTTACGTTTTATTATCGGTTCTCCGTAAAATCCATCTTGGCGAAAAAGAAAACTTGGAAAACATGTCGTTATAAAATTGATCACGTTCAGACGGCAAATATGTTCTGATGTCAACAAAAACTTTTTGGCGCATATTTCAAAATCAAACGTTTTTCGATAATCTTTCCTATAAGGAAATCTTTTTCACAACGGGGTTTCCGCATAAAATTTTCTCCCGAATCATTCTGGACAATTAATCTGGATTAATGACTTCTTAGCTGATTCTAGTTTAATGGTTAAACTATCTTGAGAGGTCGACTCGAGCCAATTATCGACCTGTTTTTCCCATCACCCGCATTTCTGGCGAATGAGCTCCCGATATGAATTAATGCAGAACAGCCGAGATCGATCTCTTATAGGAAATTCTCTTTTGCATAATTCATATGTGGTTTTTAAAAGGGAAGTTTATCGCAGCTTGATGCATATTTATCTCAAGAAATTCTTGCTTCCACGAGGTGTAAGCTTTCGAATTTTCATCGGATTTTGGGCATTAATTGTTTTTTACTCTGCAAGCAATGTCTTAATACTGTGTTAATGAACTCAGCGCTTATGTTTTATATGAGCATTATAAAAATATCGAACTGATTTTAAAACTGGATTTATATTTCAAGTTCAAGTTTTATTCAAGTTACTTCTTTTTAAATCTGAGTGGGAGAGAGTGTTCAAAATTACTTGTCTCCAAGCTGGTGAACTCGATGAAAAACTAAAATGCGTCCGTCGTGATAGGAAAGTGAGGCAAATTTTACAATAGAAAAAGACGGGTAGTAATGAAGGTTCTTGTCATTGTCAATTTAAGATACAGATTGCGAAGTTAGCAAGTAACCTGTCGGCTCAAAGATTCTATTGTGACTCTCCCATAGCTATTGAGCCTTAGCTATATATATATATATATATATATATATATATATATATATATATATATATATATATATATATATATATATATATATATATATATATATATATATATATATATATATATATATATATATATATATATATATATATATATATATTATTTGATGATCTACCAATTATTTGTTACAAATAAAATTTATAGTATTCTAACTTCGTATAAATAAAAATAGAAGCTCCCAAAAAAGCGCTTAAAAATTGATATAATTTAAAATGTTTAAATCTTTTCTAAAGTTTTAAATAAATTTTTCATAAAAACAAGCTTGCAATACACCTGAATATGATGTACAGAATGTCTCATTTTTTATGGTTTGAAGATACCCGTCTTCCTTGCTGAGACTTCCGTCACCAAAAACCGCTTTTTTAATGAAATGAAAGGTGGTACAAACAGAAATATCATAGTTATATTGGATTTTCAGATACATTGTAATTGTAATTTAAAATGTGGATGTGATGTGGATAGCTTTTTCTTGGTAGAATTCAGTTGCGTAGTCATTTTTCTTCTGAAAGTTTTCATATATAAACTAAACGTTTGTTTTTTTTTTTTTAATATAAAGCACCTTGTAGGTCTTTCGATAGTTTTATTAATTATATTTATTATATTATTATATTAATTCCAAGCGTTTATCTTAATTTTTTCTTATAAGTAACCATGAAAGAAGGTGTTCGTTTTCCTAATATACGTTAGTTGTCAAAGAGTCTTTACATTTGATAATTATTATTTTAATTTCTGTCTCCTATTTCTGTTTTGGCTCGTGCTAAGCCAACTCAGAAAAAAAAATTAGTGATACATGCTTTCTATTTAAAATTTAAAATATGGATTATGTATTTTTGAAAAGCTAATAATATCCTAATAAAGTTATTAAAAGACGTACAACGTGTTCAAAAAAAAACCCAAATTTAGTTGAGATATAAAAACTTGTGAGTTTCAGAAAAAACTGACAATGCCACCGCGTAAAAGACCCTATCCAGAACAGTTTTCTTTTCGATAAAGTTTACGCTACACGGGGTGTCTAAAAATGCAAATTTTCCAAAATAACCCTGGGTCTAACAATTCAAGATGACATTTCTGTTTGCGTCATCTTTCAGTTAATGAAAAATTAGAATTGGGTCACGAAAACCGCCGCTCAATCAGTAACGGATATGCTCCGTAAAACCATCAAATATGGGAGACATTTAACAATGAGCAGGTACGTTTGCTTCAATATTAGGCTCGTTCCAGTTTAGATCGATTTATCTGCTGGAAGTCATTTAAATGAGGTATTGTTATTTAGATAATTCGTACAGTCAATTCTGGCAAGAAGAAGCTATTATTTTAATTATATTAAAAATATCATTAATTTTCTTTGTTTTTCTTTGCTTTTGTTTTACCAAAGGTTGCCCGAAGCGTAATTGCATCCCCATAAGTTTTCAAATTGCAAATGAACAGCTTACATTAATAGTAATTTTATATACGTAAATTAAATTTCAGTATTAAGCAAGCGTATTCAAAACCTTATGGAGAATGGCAAAATATTTTCAATATTTCCTTCCAAAATTCTTTCTGAAAAAAAAAGCTCTTTCTCAAAAAGGACCTTCAAAATATATATTGAGTACACATGTACCGTTTAAAACAAAGAATGGCGTAGAGTTTGGGAACGCTTTTCGCAATTTTATATTTTGTGACACCATTCGCTATATTCACCATCTATTCTCTTAAATGAGAAAAATCACTGGAACTCTTGTTTGAACCCCCATTAAAACGCCGTTAAAAAGTTCTATACGGAGTCTCATGTAAATATTCACTAATTTCTAGGGATCAAACAGCGTAGGTAAAAACATCGCTATTAGATCCTACAAGTCTTGAAATATTTCCAACTGAAAATGTGTCAAATATAACTAATATTGGCAGGGTTGCATATTGTTTTGATTGAGATATCAAGTAAAAATGGGCAATAAATTCAACATTCATCGCGCAATGCTATTCACATAATTGTGTTCATTCATTCCAATATGCCGCCGCAACCCGACGATAAAAGTTAAAAAGGGAACGGTTTTCTTTGGATTTTATTTTCCGAGCGGGGCATATTATTTATTGTCGCCACTTTCCAGTGCAATCCAAAGATCCGCGAAATAGTAATGAAAACCAAAGGACAGCCTCGACGTCGCTTAGCTTTTGTTTATGATCTGTGCAAAGGCAAAAATATTTGCGAAGGCGGCGATGAAATGGATTTGGGCAGAAAAGAAGGCGAACAACCCGATCCCAACAAAAAACAGAGTCACGGCGGTTGCGGCCGTTATCAGCCCAGCATAAGACGTAGCGGTCTGGATCTGACAGCCGAATGGAAACATGTTAATGAGGATTCGCAAGAGAAAAAGGTGCCGCTGACAGCAGAGAGGGTGTGGGAAATTTTTAAGCATATTACAGGTAAGCAGTGGCAATTTTGCCGGGTGTTTTGAAACTATATTTGCGGGAAACGAGGCTAAGGTGGAATCGGTTTTATTTTAATAGGACCTTATCAGTCAGAACCTTCGAAATAAACCTCAAAAAGTCATAAATGTGAGTTAACAAATAACGTTAAGAATTAAGAAACAGGGTGGTTAAATCGAGGTTATAAATTTTTTTGAAAAATAATATATTGGGTGTCCCAGAATTGTATGATCAAACAAATAAATAACCCTATACATGTTTATACAATTATTGATGGTTTCGCTTATATTTTTTACATAATAATTTTAATTATCAATTATAAAATTCAGTTGATTAATTTTTAAAAAACATTAAAAAAAAAGATTTTAAATAGTACCTAGATTATGCAACACGTCAAAAATTGCTATTTTAAAACAGTACCAATTAAAAGCAGGGTGTACCACATTGTTACTAAGTTCATCACAATATATACGGCAACCGTCCCTACAAAAAGAATATATTTTTGTTAATTCTAGAAGTCGCGTTTGCCGGGTAATATTTTTGTTAAGAAAAATTTGATAATTTGACTTTGTTCCTTTAGTATCTTTTGTGCCTCGTAGGAATAACCCTTTTATGGGGCTATTAAAAAGCTTCGGGAAGATCTTGGAGAAATAAGCGGTTTTATCGCCCTTGTAATAATTCAGCAAAATCTAAAGTTTTATGGGTGTCCCGGTCAAATAAAAATGAAAAAACTTTTGAAGGTCCGACGTTACGTGATATTTTTGTCTCCTTTGCTTCGAGCGAGGAAAAATGAATTTGCATGAAATTTAGGTAGAAATAGGGGAAACCTCTTTATAAATATTAAGATGGTGAAGCGATTCATGCACAGATTAATTAATGATGTTTAGAGAGTTTCCTTTATAAATTGTAACAAATGTTGTGTTACGGATGTTCAAGTTTATTTAGATTTTCAATCTGTGGTTGCTACGATGCGGTTTTTTTAAAGAAGAAGAAACTAACTGCGTGTATATTTGTACAATATTGCATTTTTCAATAACCAAGTGTCCTTGCATAATACAGCAGTTTTATTATTATTTTTTTACAAAAATCGCGTTTTCGGAAAATGTTGTCGTGTCGAAACCAAAGATCCGCGACTTAGATTTTGCATTGATAAATGCTCCGTACCAAATATATCGCTAATTTGCACATTCCGTGTGTTCGTAGCCGTAACTGTTATGCATACTTGGCGATTTGTAGCTTAAAATCGAAGTTAAATTTGCTGTTCTGTTGATAGATAACTCAATATATCAAGACCAAGTGGTCCAGGAACAAGCTAAATTTTGGAAGTAGTCTATAAGAAAAAAGTATGGGAAGTACTGGTTTAGAGTCTAGATCGAAACTATTTTGTAAATTATTTCTATGCTCTTGACATTCAACACTTTTTCCATAAACATTTCTAAATCAAATTCAATCAGAATATTTAAAATAACAATTGTAGAGTTTTATCTATCATTGTTTAATAATTATATGTGTATACTTAGCAATTCGGGGAATCCCAATACAAATATCTACTCCATTTAGTTCTCAGAACGATGCGATGGCGACGTAACGCCCAATATATATATTTTTAATTCGTTTTGTTCTCGTCGTCATTTTTGCGTAACAAAAAAATATTGCAGAAAATTTATTAAACTGGAAATTGTGGATGTTATATACGTATTCACTCAACGGAACGTATTGTCGGATAATATTTTGTGGCGTCGGGTTTAATGCGTTTTTTGTCCGTTTTAGTTGAACACACGAATGATTTATTAATTTATCGAATTAAAAGTCCATTATTTTCGGTCTGGCGCTCTGAAAAAATTATAATAGTGTATGTAATTATAAAACTTTATGTTATGTCGATGTAGAATTTTCGATTACAAAAACAGTTTTAGCGGGTATGATTCAGGTTCAAGCAAAAATAAACGTCATAATCAAAATACTAAAGAAAAGTCTGCATGCGAATGGTTTTAATTTTAGTTGTTTGAAGGCACAATGCAAAAATGTATTTTGAATCATCGGCATCTGCAGGAGACTGAATTAGAATTGCATGCTGTGGAATTAATAGGACCTCGTCATTGTTAACAAACGGTACATCGCGAAAACTGTTGACGGAGTAACCCAATGCTTTATTTATCACCTCTGCAGGTAGAATGTGCCTACAAGGTTCACAGGTTGAGTTCTCCAAACGATATACCGTTTTTACGACATAATCCGATACTTAACTTTGGTAAACTACGAGGCCTACCTCGCTTGGGTTTCTCTTTGTAACCCTCAATAAATATATTCGCAATTCCGCAATGATGTTTCAGATCTGTAATTCGATACTTCTTCCATACAAATGCTACTTCTTATCAAACGTTTCCGTCGAAAGTACTTCCAATAGGAATTTTTAAGCAAAAAATTTTGAATGACTTTGCAGAAAGCAACAAAGCGTTATGTACCCAACCACCTTCAGAGTCCGTATGATAATTCGTTTACCCCTCGAAACTGACACACCCAACGAACATTACCTGCTGCATATCTTGTCCTCCACCCGGAAATTCTTCTTGATTCCATCAAAATTGTCTCTGATGGCGTTGTAAAAAATAAAAATAAAACCAATTCTTGGTACAAACGCACGCAAAGTCTCTTGGCAACACTACGCAACCCTTCATATACAGTTTATAATTGTTAAAACAATATTTCTCTGATATCCCTCATATACCAACCGTCTTACTAATAAAACACGGTTTCATAAAACTGACAACATACTACAGGTAATAGCAAACTGGGCAAATTATCTACATACGATTTTGTATTGCTTTCCTAGGAAAATATTTTAAGAGTCATTATCTCATATTGGAAATCAGTTTAAGCTTTCTAATGCTTTTCTGTCTAAGCTGTTTAATATAGGAGATCAACCTACCAAATAGGCAAATTCAAATTGAAATCGAGCTACCTCAAGTAGAGACTGGACTAATATGAGTTAATATAACAGTTTAATCAAAGAAAATTTCCCTACTCTTAAAATGCAGCACAGCACAGTTTTTGTCGGCTACCATCTTAAATAGGGCCCTGGCTTGTGGTACATGTGTTGAAAAGAATAGTCCCTTCTGCTTTACAGCGGGCGGGTCGTGAACTCATTCCGAAGTCAAAACCATCAAAAGTTGTAAAAATGGTATATCGTTTGGAGAACTCCAAGCATATGAAATACTTCCTTGCAAAGAACACCTAGCAGCGTGTTCTGATTTTTGGTATGAATGCCGAATTTTTTTGCTGTTGTCATGAAAGTTGCGAGACGAGGGCTAAGGCGAGTTTTTATTTGATCATCCCGTAGGATCCTCTATTTTAACAGAGTACATTAAAACTTTTGAATATTCTATTGTTGGGTGTAATAGATCGTTGTAAATAGTTTGTAGTTGTCGGCATTTTCAGTACCAATTTTTTCTGATACCGGTTCGCTACTTTCGAGTTCTCCCTTCATAACTTTTCAAAATAGCCATTTATTGTAATAACTTGGTAAACCCCAAAAATAAAGGCAAATTTTACAGACTAATCTCAGGCAATTTCGTTTTTCATCCAATGTTTGTTTGTCCTCTTTTGTGCATCATCATCCATCATTTCCGAGTGTAAAGCTATTAATTCAATTATATATCTAGTAACGAATGTTTCGAATAAAAAGTCATTTGCCTTAACGCAAGCAGAACTAGAGTTTTGCGAATGAGAAAATGTTCCGTGAAGAGAGTTGAAATGTGAGAAAGTACTGTATAAAACGCAAGGATAAAACTGGAAGCATGTAATACCGATTTTAATGCCGAATAATCCAAAAACTTTACTTTCACGTGCCTGGCATTTCGATATACCTCTCTGTCGATGTCAATCTTCAACAAACTTTCCGGATGCTTATGACTTTCTTTAAAAGTGTCGCTAACTTGGAAGTTATGTCCTGTACATATCCCTTGGGAGCAGATAAATAAGATTTTTAGCTTTAAAGTTTATTTGTTATAAAGTTTGAAAAAGTTATACTTAAATGCATTGCTGATGACTTTTTCGTTCGGAAATCAGCTCGAGAACATAGCCGTCCCGTTTCTCAAACCAGACTTGGTGAAAATGTAAATGCAATCGTCCCAGTTAGGGCAAATGTTTCCAAGTCAATTGACACGAAATAACTTGCAGCTGAAGTATGGATACAATTTACCCTTTTCTGTTATTTATTTGTTCAGACGAGGAATGTTTCGTTCTTGGAATGGACCCAAAATACGCCCGTCCCGATTGGATGATTGCCACAGTTCTCCCGGTCCCACCCCTTCCCGTAAGGCCGGCCGTTGTTATGAATGGTTCGGCAAGAAATCAGGACGACTTGACCCACAAACTTGCAGATATCGTAAAGATAAATGCAGAACTGGAAAAAAATGAAGCGTCTGGGGCGGCAACGCATATTTTAGCTGAGAACGTTAAAATGTTACAATTTCACGTCGCTACGCTCGTCGATAATGATATGCCCGGGATGCCAAGGTACACAATTTTCGAAAGTGGATTTAACACAGCTACCGCTAGCAAAGTTTACAGAATGATATATTAATAAGTTGCCGCACTCGAGGCCACGCCCGCGATTACCCCCCTCCTTCCGCTGCAGTTGAGAAGCAGTGGATTTTATTTCTCGTCGATCGGTTTGTGCATTTAGATACCCAGCGCATCCAAAAGTGTACAAATTGTTGTTGCACTGCTCCAAATTAGCGTAAAACGGAAATGTGAAATATTAAACATTTCTTTTTAATCATCCTTGTCAATGTTTTTTGCTCTCGAATTGTAAATACATATTTGTATTACAATACCCACCTCGTACGCGATTTTTCATTCAACAATAATATTTAACGTCCCCTGTACCATCAACAAAAACATCTAGGGCTATAAAAACAGTTGTCGTTCTTTAAAATAATGCAGGCAACTTTTAAATATTCTGTAGACTTTACTACTAGTATTTTCCTAGGTCCTAGGTTCAGTATGTGGTGAGAGAATTGAATAATGTTGTCTATAAACTGAGCAAATTGACTAGAGCGATATTTAACCATGGTCTCTGAAGAGGTCGGTTTAGCCAAAGTAAATTCCTCATCTTTTAAGTCTGAAAAATGTTTCAGGTTGTCCCAAAGCTTTAAATGGCATTTTTTTGGGATCTTCCTATTTCTAGCATAAGTAATTTTGTTGAGCATCTTCAATGTGATATTTAGCATATCTACCACCTGTTTTCTCCAGGATCGCAAGGTTTTGAAGTGTTAATACTGAGACGCTTTTGTACCGCTTACTGTTACTGCGACTGTACGTACAGTGACAGCTGTTCCAAGTCAATTTGCTCTGATGAACGAATGAACGATGAATGAATATGTGATTACAAACACATATATCATCGGACGTCTCGACCATTATTTTAGGGCAATGCAAAAATCTGGAAAACCGCTTAAATCAATAAAAGCGCGCCTCAAAGGTAAAGAAGGCAGAATCAGAGGTAATCTTATGGGTAAACGTGTGGATTTTTCCGCGCGTACTGTCATTACGCCAGATCCAAATTTAAGGATCGACCAAGTAGGAATTCCAAGAAGTATCGCGCAGAACTTAACATTCCCGGAAATAGTTACGCCATTCAATTTCGAAAAGTATGTTTTAATCTTGCGCTTACCTTTTGCACAGCGGTCTGTATGATTTCAGAATGTTAGAATTAGTACAGAGAGGCCACTCTCAATATCCAGGCGCTAAATATATTATACGAGATAACGGCGAAAGGATCGATTTAAGATACCACCCCAAATCGTCAGATTTACATCTGCAATGTGGATACAAGTAGCTATACATTCGTACTATTAGCGAACCTGCACCCTTTGATCGTTGCTTTTAGAGTAGAGAGGCATATCCGCGATGGAGATTTGGTAATTTTTAACCGTCAACCGACTCTACATAAAATGAGTATGATGGGTCACAGAGTAAAGGTTCTTCCGTGGTCGACGTTCCGCATGAATCTGTCTTGCACGTCTCCGTACAATGCCGATTTTGATGGCGACGAAATGAATCTTCACGTGGCTCAGAGTATGGAAACCAGAGCCGAGCTTGAAAATTTACACATAACCCCAAGGCAGATCATCACGCCTCAGTGTAACAAACCAGTCATGGGTATCGTGCAGGACACCCTATGCGCTGTCCGGAAAATGACTAAGAGGGATGTATTTATTGAAAAGGAGCAGATGATGAACTTATTAATGTTTCTTCCCATTTGGGATGGTCGAGTGCCTAGGCCCGCCATATTGAAACCTAAACCGTTATGGACCGGAAAGCAATTATTTTCGTTGATTATTCCGGGAAACGTGAACATGATCAGAACACATTCGACGCATCCCGACGACGAAGACGATGGACCCTACAAATGGATTTCGCCTGGTGATACGAAGGTCATGGTAGAAAATGGCGAACTCGTAATGGGCATATTGTGCAAGAAATCGCTGGGAGCTTCTGCCGGTTCCTTGCTGCACATTTGCTTCTTAGAACTGGGACACGAGGTGTGTGGACGATTTTACGGAAATATCCAAACCGTCATCAATAATTGGTTGCTATTAGAAGGTGGGTGCAAATTTGTTGCAAATGAGTCTTGACGATCCCAAATGGTTGCTTCGTTGTAGGTCACAGTATCGGTATCGGTGACACCATCGCCGATCCGATGACGTATTTGGAAATTCAAAAAGCCATCAAGAAGGCAAAAGAAGATGTAATAGAAGTAATTCAGAAAGCTCATAACATGGAGCTGGAACCAACCCCCGGAAACACTCTAAGACAAACCTTCGAGAATCAAGTAAACAGAATCTTAAACGACGCCAGAGATAAAACGGGCGGCTCCGCTAAAAAATCTCTGACGGAATACAACAACTTAAAAGCTATGGTAGTGTCGGGTTCGAAGGGCTCTAATATTAACATTTCGCAGGTTAGACGAGGCCTCTAATTAGTTACGTTCACTATATTTATTTCTTTTCACTGTCTAGGTTATCGCCTGCGTGGGTCAACAAAACGTAGAAGGGAAACGTATCCCGTTCGGTTTCCGAAAACGTAGTTTGCCTCATTTCATAAAAGACGACTACGGTCCAGAATCCAAAGGGTTCGTCGAAAATTCGTACCTGGCAGGTTTGACGCCGTCGGAATTTTATTTTCACGCCATGGGAGGTCGCGAAGGGCTTATCGATACCGCCGTCAAAACCGCCGAAACCGGATATATTCAAAGACGTTTGATAAAAGCTATGGAATCTGTTATGGTAAATTACGACGGGACCGTTCGTAACTCTGTAGGCCAACTCATTCAGTTACGTTACGGCGAAGACGGACTATGCGGCGAGATGGTAGAATTTCAGTCCCTACCGACTGTGAAGTTATCCACCAAATCGTTCGAGAAGAAATTTCGATTTGATCCGACCAATGAACGGTATCTGAGAAAGGTGTTTAACGAAGACATCATAAAAGAAATCATGAGTAGCGGCGAAGTAATCGCGGAACTGGAAAAAGAATGGGAACAATTGGCGAAAGATCGCGAAGCTTTAAGGCAGATATTCCCGAGTGGCGACTCGAGCGTCGTACTGCCGTGCAACTTGCAAAGAATGATTTGGAACGTGCAGAAAATTTTCCACATCAACAAAAAATCCACGACCGATTTGTCGCCGCTGCGTGTAATTCAAGGTGTGAGAGAACTGCTCAAGAAGTGCGTCATTGTGGCTGGCGACGATAGGCTCTCGATTCAGGCGAACGAGAACGCTACGCTGCTCTTTCAGTGTTTGGTTAGGTCTACACTTTGCGCCAAGCTGGTGTCCGAACAATACAGGCTAACGTCTGAGGCGTTCGAATGGTTGCTCGGAGAAATCGAAACTAGATTCCAGCAGGCTCAGGCGAATCCCGGCGAAATGGTAGGCGCGTTGGCCGCTCAATCGCTCGGCGAACCTGCCACCCAGATGACACTGAACACTTTCCATTTTGCCGGCGTGTCGTCGAAAAACGTAACCCTCGGCGTGCCGCGTCTAAAGGAAATCATAAACGTATCGAAAAAACCTAAAGCTCCTTCGTTGACGGTATTTTTGACTGGCGCCGCCGCGAGGGACGCTGAAAAAGCGAAAAACGTGTTATGCAGATTGGAACACACCACGTTGAGAAAAGTGACAGCGAATACAGCCATTTATTACGATCCAGATCCGCAGAATACCGTCATTCCGGAAGATCAAGACTTTGTAAATGTGTACTACGAAATGCCGGACTTCGATCCGTCCCGAATTTCGCCGTGGCTGTTGCGAATCGAATTGGACAGGAAGCGGATGGTCGACAAGAAATTGACCATGGAACAAATAGCTGAAAAGATAAACGCGGGCTTCGGCGACGATCTGAACTGTATCTTCAACGATGACAACGCAGAGAAATTGGTGCTGAGAATTAGAATCATGAATAACGGAGAAGACACAAAGTTCGGCGAAGGTGGCGAGGAAGATGTCGACAAAATGGACGACGACATGTTTTTGCGATGCATCGAGTCGAATATGTTGAGCGACATGACACTGCAAGGGATCGAGGCGATCTCCAAAGTGTACATGCATTTGCCTCAAACCGATTCCAAAAAGAGGATCATTATTACGGAAACTGGCGAATTTAAAGCCATCGCCGAATGGCTGCTGGAAACTGATGGCACTAGTATGATGAGGGTTTTATCCGAACGCGATGTTGACGCCGTCAGGACCGCGTCAAATGATATTTGCGAAATTTTTTCGGTGAGTTCGTTTACGCTAAAGGAATTGTTTTTCGCTAAACTTATGTTTCAGGTATTAGGAATCGAGGCTGTACGAAAATCTGTAGAAAAAGAAATGAATGCTGTGTTGCAATTCTATGGTCTCTATGTCAATTACCGGCATTTGGCTTTACTCTGTGACGTAATGACAGCAAAAGGTCATCTCATGGCTATTACTCGTCACGGCATCAATAGGCAAGATACCGGAGCTCTTATGCGGTGCTCCTTTGAAGAAACTGTCGATGTTTTAATGGACGCCGCTGCTCATGCAGAAGTTGATCCAATGAGAGGAGTGTCTGAAAATATTATTATGGGACAACTTCCACGGATGGGCACCGGTTCTTTTGATCTTCTCCTCGATGCAGAAAAGTGCAAGATGGGCATACCCATACCACAAGCTCAAGGTGGCGAAGTTACTTCGGGAATGTTCTTTAGCTCAGCTGCGACTCCGAGTATGAGTCCAGCAGGTGCAATGACACCGTGGGCAACTGGAGCAACTCCTTTTGTCGGGAATGCCAGCGCTTGGTCCCCACACAGTAAGTTATTATTAAATTGATAATTCTGAGGTACCATCCCTTGAACCACTCCTTTTCTTCCAGATCTTCTAGGAAGTGGTATGACTCCGGGAGGACCATCATTCTCACCATCAGCCGCGTCCGATGCATCAGGAATGTCTCCAGCATATGGTGCCTGGTCACCGACACCTCAATCGCCAGCTCTTTCAACTTTCGGACAATCGCCTGGCTACATTCCATCCAGCCCTGCATTTAATCCCACATCTCCATCTATGACGCCAACATCGCCCGTATACTCTCCAAGTTCACCAGGTTATGCTCCATCGAGTCCTGGTTATGGGCCTAGTAGTCCTGGATATTCACCTACTAGTCCTCATTACTCCCCAACATCGCCTTCATATTCTCCAGCTAGTCCGAGATATTCTCCCACCAGCCCTAGCTATTCACCCACAAGCCCTAGTTATTCCCCTACAAGCCCAAGCTATTCCCCGACAAGTCCCAGCTACTCACCTACGAGCCCAAGTTATTCTCCAACAAGTCCCAGCTACTCACCCACAAGCCCAAGTTACTCTCCAACTAGTCCTAGTTATTCGCCAACTAGCCCTAGCTACTCGCCAACTAGCCCGAGTTACTCTCCAACCTCGCCATCATACAGCCCCACTTCCCCGAGCTATTCCCCAACATCTCCGTCATACAGTCCAACTTCTCCGAGTTACTCTCCGACGTCTCCTTCATACAGTCCCACGTCTCCAAGTTATTCGCCAACCTCTCCTTCATACAGTCCCGTATCTCCCAACTACTCACCAACGTCTCCAAGTTATGCACCCTCATCCCCAATTTATACTCCCGCGACGCCAAGTTATTCTCCAGTTCCACCTACATATTCGCCATCGTCTCCGCAATATTCACCGACATCCCCGAGTTATTCTCCTGCATCACCAAAGTATTCTCCTGCGTCGCCTAGTTATTCCCCATCATCTCCACAATATTCACCAGCTTCGCCAACATATTCACCAACTTCTCCCAATTATTCACCCTCGAGTCCACAGCACACACCTGGTAGTTCAAAATATTCACCGTCTTCTCCTAATTATTCTCCTACTTCGCCTCAGTATTCACCTCAAAGCACTAAATATTCTCCTACTTCACCGACATACACGCCGACAAGTCCAAATTATTCACCAGGATCCCCATCTTGAGACCGCGTGGTGCAAATTTTATACAGAACTGTTATATTGTTTATTAATTTGTTTCTGTACTTTATAATATACTTATAACCATAACTGTATCTACATTTTTTTAAATATAATATTGCTAAAGGATATAGTTTGGTTTCATTTATCGTCAATATTAATAAGGTAGGATGCGCGTATCACCGCAACGAATTAGTATAACTGGTGAAGATCAAGGTTTGATAAGGTAAGTAAAGTTACTGTTTTTTTTTATAATAGGTAATCTACTTCATATTCACCAAAAAACGAGGAAAAGTATTTGAAAAACAAAATTGACAAATATTTCGCAAATAACGCACCAAGCACTTAAATTAGAAAAGATTACCGGTCACATATTGCAAGTTTGAGAGAGGCTAAAATAAAAGATTTAATTAATAACAAAAATGTGTGAATTGCCTTTTAGTTTAAGAATTTTGGTCTAGAAAACTTTCCCTAATTTATAGTTGGGAAATGAAAATTCTTTAATCTGACGGTAACCGGTTTCGATAAATTAATAAGGGTACTAGAATAATTCACTCTTGAGTTTCACCCTAAAAAAGATATTTTCTCTACAATACCAGTTGTAATCAGCATTATAACCTTCATGCTGTTCAAACAAAGGCTAGGCATATTTTATGTGAAAACCTTAAAATTAATATTTTAAATTGTAGGTGTTTACCCGTACGAGACATGCAAGATAAAAAAGCAGGAATATTATATATCATTGGCTCGATCAGTCTAGTGAATTTTTCTCGACAGTTTGTCGATGCACGGATCCAGATCTTTTTGGCATATCACAACTTTTGGTTAGTTCAAATTCAGTCAATTCAATAAAATACTCGTAGAGATTTCTTGTCTTATCTTATCTTATATCACAAATTTTGGTTAGTTCAAATTCAGTGAATTCAATAAAATACTCATAGAGATTTCTTTTTAAGTTAAAAATATGTTCTTTGAGTTTTAAAAATCCTACAGAATCCATTTATTATTCTTCCGAATTTTAAATCAAAAACTCACTACAGAACAATATTACCTCATTTGTGTTGTTATCGCACCAATTTCAAATTCCAATAGAATCAATCCGGAAAAGATATTCGGTCAGTGAATATTATTATTTCATCCGTAGCATATTTAAGTAATTAACGTCCCATTGCGAACGACACACGCTGTATGGGTACCTTTAACCTTTTCTCAAACCTGCATACAAATTTTACAATTGGAAATGAAATTAAACTCGAACGGGAAGAAAAATGCAATACTTTTCAATCATTGTGCCTTGAAAACATGCCAATCATTGCGTATTCCCCCCAGGAGCCGTTGTCCGCTGTCAAAATCCGAACTCGTTGGAATGTTGTTTGCGATTGTTCAGGAATGCCATTGCTACCGTTAGGAACAGAAGTTCAAGATTTTCCAAATGATTGTTTGTAAATGTGAATTAGAGCTCTATTAGAGTTAACACGTTATTTCGATTGATTTTATGCAGTTATTTGCAGAAACATTTTCTGTTCTTGGAAAGTAAACGTTGCATAATTAACGTTAACATAACCACTCGTTCTCATAGTCCCGAAAATGTAACGCGTGTTGTTTTAGTTCGGGGAATATATGGTATTCACTAGGTACCTAACCTCAAAAATAGAGCAGTAGTTAAAAAATTTCGAAGCCTTAAAACAGCGAAATAGTATGAAAATTATGACCATGATCTTCACTGTTCACTATAGATGATTTGTATGAAAATTTTAAGGTGGTGTGGTAAAAAGTAAAACGCTAGTTATGAAAAAGTCTGAACTATGAATTTTCCAATGATCCGTCCATCTTTCAGGAGCATGAAATAAACCAGGTCAATATTTTATTTGCAATCAACAGTTTTCTGCCGCAGTCGACTTTCTAACCTCATCAAATTTTATAAATAAATATTAATGGGTTAGTTTTGATTCATTATGCTACGCTTTGTTAAGGCTCAAACAACACTTTTAGTGCCTAGATCAGCAGTTTCCCGCACCTTAATTAAATCCATTATATTATTACGTTATGAAAGGATCTTAATCCCTGTAAACCTATTTACACCTCGTAAAATTACGTTTACACTTTCACCCTTCTCATAACGTAGGATAGGTCATCACCCCTGCAAAATGAAACAATACCAAAATAAAGGCCAAACTTGCAAAAGGCATTCGTAAAATTTACGGAAATTAACCCTGGCACAATCCTTCGTCTAGATTACTCTCCGCTGGTGAACCCTCTCCACTGCCCCTACACCCACCCTCGAGATTTAAACTTTACCTATAAGAGAGGCGTTCTGGTATAATTGTTCCATTAGGTGGAAGCTGAAGTTTAAAACTGTGTTAGAGATTCGTTCGTTTCTATTTTTGAACTTAGATTAAATTATTTCTCGACACTTGCACCGTCACGGAAATTAAAAGGGTCCGACAAAAAATAAATTAATAATTAGTAAATTAAATTGTCTTTCCATTTGTGTTGTATTGCTAATAAAAATTCATAATACAATTGATTCCTCGTTAACTATATATTCCACAAACTAAACGAAGCAAAAGTATTGCTTTGCTGTATAAACCTGTATATTTGATAAGTTTAAAATATTTTGAACAAGCTGGAATCTTCAGTTTTCCATTTTCTTTTCTTAGTATTTTAGTTTATCATAAACCTGACATCTGAATTTCTGAAGTCCAACCAACCAAGCAGTAACATTAAAAAGTCTAGTGAACTTTTCATTAATTTCTGACTTGAAATCAAATATGCGCATGTGCGACACGAATGTCTTTCGTATTTTGTACAACTGAAAAAAAATTTTTGGATATACGTATTTGCTGTTTACCGCAAAAGAAAGGTCGATACTGGAATAAATATTCATTATAAGAAAGAATAACAATTAATTTTTAAATATGTCACTAAACTCCACCGTTAACCGTTGGTTTTAATATTTATGGTAAAATAATTTTAAATTAAAGCTAATGAATGAGCGCATCTTCTTTATAAACACCGATTTCCGCCTAATGCGTTTTCCTAAGCTTAGTTTGAGAAAACATTGAATGCCACAAGATTATTGCTAAAAACAAGATTTTAAATCTTGCGCATGCGCATCTTGAATGGACCTTCTCAATTTTTTTTATGATTGTTTCACAAGTTCCTGTATTATCGGCATAGGCAGGGCTTCTATATCTCTAGCAGCTATATCCGTGCATCAAGTAAGGACACGCGCAGAAGATAATAAGTGTCATAGTCGCATCAATTTTACAGCATTGTCTGCCCTTAACTATACGAAACTATTAAAAAAGTCTTTATACCATAGGGGCCTTGAATTTTTGATGAGTTATGTTATCAACTAGAAGAGCATGCGCTTGATGGTCCATGATTATAACCAAAGATATGGACAAGAAATAATGATAATTATACCGTACAATAAAAATTTAAGATGAATAGAACCAAAACATTAACTGTAATTGAAGATCATTATAGAGTTTTGGAGTTAAAAAGGAGAAAATACTGGCGAATCAGAACGTCTGCAGAATCGCAAAAGTTATTTTTGTACAAATTTTTCTTGATTTTATCCAAAATATTCACACAGTAACCTAGTTTTGATTGATTTCAAATGAATGTTTGTTCTTCCATTTACTCTAAAAATAATTCACCTCAAAAATTCTTTTCGGACAAGCACATGGGCGAAATGCCTGAAAATTCATTTTAAATTTAAAAGCTTTTAAGTAATGAACATATGAAAAATTCAGGATTGTTTACTCGGTGGGCCACTTATACCTAGCCAATTTCTCAAAATTACACCAATTTTGTTTCCTTTATTTCTATTGCATCGGATCTTGCCTCGCCGCATTGCCGCATCGAGATGACTTTCTATATGACATAGAGTATTTGCAAACGTTAGGGACGCCGATGGAACTTTATAGTACTGTGCACAAGATTTCGCGTGACCTGATCTATATACTGAAAGGAATATTCCCTAGACTCTCTATCAAGCAGTGACGCAATAAATCCACCGCAAATCTGGGTTGGCAAATTATATTTGGCGCTTATATTTTCCATCGGTACGGACGAATCCGACCCCATCCATGACATGGATGAACATAAATTTTCAGTATTATTTTGAATTTGACTGAGGATTTCGAGGCCCCACTAACCCGGAACGCTCCCTTGCCCAACTCTTCCCAGTCATTCGCTGCTATTAATCTTGCGGATATTTCAAAGTTAGCATGTGTTTAAAGCGAACGAACTGTAGTCAAATTTATATTGTATATTCACTAATTGACCTTTATGACCTATAATTTGAGCACGAAAGGAAATTATTTACTATTATTGTATTATATTAAACAAGGTGCGTCAGTTTGGATGACCTAGAAGTAAAGATACGAAAAAATGCATTTATTGCAAATTAGTACTAAAGCTGGCAACACTGGAAGTTGATTGATGAAAGCCTCTTTTGTATATGTTTAATAAGGATAACATTGAAAAAAGAGAAGATAGTCTGATTAAGAATAATAATTTTTAATATGACACCATTCTAACTCTATACGATAAAACTTTTCGTTATCTATGTCAGCGAGTTAATACGCACACAGAAACACAATAAAAGCCACTTTATAACAAAAAACTTCAGAAAGTTTTCAAAAAGACAGATCTAAAAATGTATAGCATACTGCAATTTATAGGTTTATAAGTTTTCTGCTTCAGGAGCATTATTGGTAAATTCAAAAGATAAACCGAAGCCTTTCCAAAAGGGGTAGAATAAGGAAATTAAATTAGTTATGCGGAGAGCGATACGAACTATATGTTGGCTAAACAAGGAGATCAATACATACCTATTGGATTCGGCAGAACTGAAAAATCATGCGTTTCCGAACATACATAGGCGCTAGAATGAAGTGGCAAATATTTTATTTTCGTAAAGAGGTGATAAAACTGTTAAATTTTATGGTATAAAATGAAAATCAACATTTAAAACCTATTGATACGAATACGCTTAGAAATATTGCAAAGGTATTATTTACTTCAATATTAATTTATTTAGAAGAGTCAGATTTGAGACATTTGCAAAATTTCCTCATTAATTCGTATAACTTCAAGTTTTCCATATTGGATTGTTATG